TACTAGGGTATATAATAGCAAGATGCAAGGGTACTTCAAAAAGTTCACAAAAAGATTTGTATTATCTTTTAATTCTATTTTTCCATGAACTTTTGAAGGAGCTTGTGTATCTTCAGGCTAATCATAATCCCCTGCTCGTGAACACCTACTTGCAGGATATAGTTCAAACTCCTCGGCACAGCTAAAAGATTCTTTGCAATCAGATTCCCTGCCCACCTTTGCATTCCTTTCTTTTCAGGACACGCACAGGAACCCTTTGGTCCAGAGATACACAAAGCCTCAGCCAACAGCCTATGCCACACTCTCCCTGATTTGCTCATCTCTTCCCCACTTCAAAGACAAACCCAATCAAATTCAGTGTCTTCTCCAAGAAACCTTCTCTGATATCCCCAGCTTTGGTGGCTGTGTCATAACTCCAGGTCAACAAACATTTGCTAACTTGTTTCTTCTCATCAATGCTGACACCAATGATTTTTTAAGGTGTCTCTCTCTACACTCTTCACGTACACGATGTTGGGCAGAGGCAGGAGGAGCAAAGAGATACCAGCTTACTAACTTATTGACTTGCTGGTGCAGCTCCTTTGCGGTCCATTCTGGCGCCTTTATGGCAGCAAAGAGAAGCAGGTGCTCCCGGACAGTGAGGTTGTCCAGCAGGACGTCCTGCTGCAGACACACCCCCAGCTCCATTCTGACCCGAGGCAGGTCTGTGTGCAGGTTCTTGCCATTGACGATGATGGTTCCAGAAGTGGGAGGGTAGAGCCCCGTCAGCATGGATCTGCCAGAGAAGATAAATCAGCACACAGAACACATGGTACTGATACCCTGCATGTAGACAACCCAGTCACTCCATGGCAATGTGTTCATCCTGAGAAGAACACACACCATCTGCCAACCTGTCTTCCACCCAATCAGTTAAAATCTGTGAGGAGCTTACGGAGATGTCGGCTGGTTATTGTGGGAGATGTGGGCTTACGAAGATGTTTATACTCTCACTGTGATCATAGACCATTGCAGTTGTGTGGAACTTTAAGGTGATAAAATCCAACTTTGTTTTGACAGATGAGGAAACAGGCTAAAGAAATGACATATTCACCTAAGTCCTCATAACTAGACATAAGCAAAGCACAAATGCTAACCTAGACCCCCAATCCTGTGTCCAGCCATCCCTCTTCTCCCCCAGGCTGTCACCTGAAACTCACTTATCTGACTTCACCAAAGGAAGCCAGCCTGAGGATTGCCTATTTCTGCTTTCTTGTTTCAGAAAGATTATTATTTATGTGTTAAACTGTTTTCTTATTTTTAAAAAGTTAAACATGGGGCCGGCCCCGTGGCGCACTCAGGAGAGTGCGGTGCTTGGGAGTGCAGCAATGCTCCCTCCGCAGGTTCGGATCCTATATAGGAATGGCCGGTGCGCTCACTGGCTGAGCGCTGTGCAGGCGACACCACACCAAGGGTTGCGATCCCCTTA